GTGTGTGTGTGTGTGTGTGTATATGTCTATATGAAGTTCGAATAGAAGTAACTTAACTTAAAGCTACCCTTAAATTATTGTGACACGGAATGTACTGTACAAGTTAGGATGTAGCTTGTAAAATGCATTGCCAGACTCGCGTAGTCATGAGATCCACTCATGTGTGCATACACAAACACTCTTTTCTCACACAATGCACATACACCGACGAAGATACCAAACTAACTCACATCAAATCAGATAAAGTCTTCTAAGTTCTCTCTTGCTTACTGTTGTAGGCCACCATCTTGTCGCGTTTCGATATGATCTACATCGTCAAGGACGTCGCCTCAGAAGAACAGGATAGCCGCATAGCTAGGCACGTCACACGGTTCCACCAGAATATCACCACCACCAGTGAGGCTGCTCAAGGCCCTATCGACGCAGACCTGCTGAGAAAATACGTCAACTACGCCAGAAGGTATGGCATTCTTGGGCAGAAAAACAAATGTGCAATGTTAGAAATCTACTTGGATCTTGAATTAAATTTCTAGCTCTGTTCTGGCTGGGCAGTGTATTGGTATTTTGTTTCAGTGTAGGATTGACACCGGTCAATTTTTCGGGCTCTAGACGTACGAATGTATAGCTTTGGCGTCTCATTTTGATTATGAATTGTTTTCTTAGCCTGACATCTACACTGTATCTATCGCATAATGTTGTACACCAATCAATGGTTGGAGCCCTAACTTACGAATATACAGTACTGTAGTCCTACTTCGATCGTGAATCATTGTATTAGTCTGGTGGCAAGTGCATTTGTATGTCTCTCTTTGTTGCATACTAGTTTATGGTTATAACATTGTCATTTCTATCAGCTAACAATTACCTGTACACCAATACCCACCACAGGCAATGCGGGCCACGGTTAAATCCTGAAGCCAAAACCAGACTGATTAACGAATTCGTCAACATCCGCTCACAGAATAAGAGCACCCGTCGCACCATACCCATCACTGTCCGGTGAGTTTCGTGAATGTAATCGCGTACAAACGTTTGTGCCGAATCTCAACTTGCTATATCACGTACGTACACAAATGGCAGTTTGGTTCAGTTTGTTCGTTTGATATTGGACTTTAATTGACGTCCACATACCAGTGTATATACCCTCATCCCAATCCGGAACCATCTACTTAGCCGTTTATTTCGCCCACACACAAGGACTAAATGCACGATTTCGTACATTCTTTATAGTCAATTGGAAGCCATCATCCGTATTTCCGAATCTTTGGCCAAGATGCGCTTAGCCCCGTTTGCGTCATATACAAATGTTGAGGAGGCGTTGCGGTTGTTCCGTGTATCGACACTGCAAGCCGCACAGAACGGAGATGTAACTGGTACGTTTACACGTACTAGTTGTGTAATGGAATTCACAGATGTATTCCTACGGTGTTTGTATTGTCGGGAGGTCATGTTATTGGGGTCTATAGTAATGTCATATGTGAGGTTTTGCACGAGAATGCGTGTGGCCACCCAAGAGTCTGGTTGGATAGCACAGTAGTCAGATTTAGTGGAGTTTGGATGTTTGCTCACTATTGCGCCCATTTTCATATAATGGTAAGGTAGAACGGGGTTGCACAATTCCCTCTACATAGTGAGATTAATCCATCTAATTGACCGCTATAGACTGATGCCTCGGCAATGAATATTTGTACACATGTATATAGTCATGATGCGTATATTAGTATATTATTGATCCGTTCATTACATGTGTAGGTATGGAAGGGATGGGCGTTGCAAATGACAATGAAGAGGTTCTTCGAGCCGAGAAAAGGATTCAGAAGCGATTCCCCATTGGTGCCTCTGTGCGCGAGCGGGTGATCCTGGATGATTTCGCCTCGAAGGTATGCTTGTCGGATTATATGATCTGAGACTTCTATTCGTTGCCTTTTCCAAATTGACTGCTGCTTACACTATCAATCGCAATTTATTCATGAGATTTAGAGTATATTTCTGCTCTGCAGTACCTTGATATTTTGTGCTTTATACGAGCACGATATCACTTTCGATCGTTTACATCCAATATACGTACAAAGTTGCTCTCGTACTTGCATATTCATTACATCGTTTATTAAACCTCTACAGGACTTTTCTGAATATGCTGTGCGTAAGGCTATATGGGTCATGTTGAAGCGCGGTGAACTTGAACATCGATTCCAAGGAAAAGTGCTTTACAGGAAGCGATAGCGCTCGAATCTAGATACACACTACCCAACACGCTCAGCTCATCGGAAGTAAGCTTGTGCTGATCATATCCATCCCGGGCACACATAACTCGCATGTGACGCTGTGTCTACTTCAACACTCCTTTGGAGGCTGACCTCCACCGTACTTTAGTAGGTAAGTATGGCGTCAAACACAGGCAAGTGGATAATCGAATTGGTATCCAGTATCGCTTAGGCCTCAGACTGTGAATCGACAGCATCTAAATTTTCAGTGGGGATTGCAGTACATCACTGCGAGTCTCGATTGGTGACCTTTCGCTTTTCGGGAAAGCTATAGTTGTGTATACATACTGCATAAACCAGGATGTCTGGGTGACGTCCGGCGCGGGCGACGTGAGGACCGCTTATATACATACCCAAATACATAGTGCTTAGCGGAGAGATTTAGCTCCACTCTAAGTTGCTGTGCAGCAAGTGTCTAGCGCTCAGCCGGTGGCACGTCCTAAGGAAGCAAAGCCATTATGAACTGTAGAATTCATGGAATCGCCTGAATTTGCGTATAAAATTAATATATGAATCCCGTAATCCAGACTGCTGGCTGTATCATTCTGACACGCTGGTATGTTGGAATGGTTCCGTTTGTTTCAAAAGTATGGTGCGCCATCATTGGCAGTCATTATCACTAAATCGGTCATACTTACTTCTCACGGATATTCTGATGTTAGCTGGACGTACAATCATCAATTTCTCGATTTGAAGCCTGCTTTTATAGAAACAAAAATCAGTTAACTATCACTCACACACGTTACGTCGTAGTCAATTCTTGATTTAGTATACTATTAGACGGTCACACGTATCGGAATTCAGTGAATGTTAAATCCAGTGAGTATAAATTATTCTCAAACGCAAGAACACTTCGAAAGCGTGTTCTAAACCGAAAAATAAGTAGTGTAACAAATATACGGCCACTGTCGCTGTCGCCGCCAGTGCCCGCCCACTCGACTCCTGAGTACGAGTACAAGATTACCTGTGCCGAGAAGCGTGAACGCAATCTCGATGCCCTTGAGGGTCCCATCCACAAGAACAAGGAATGCTGTCAGTGGTCTGGAGAATGTGGTGATCTTAAGAAGTGCACACAGTCATATTGCGAGAAGGGCAGTGAATCATCAGACGTATACAACCACAGTATTGATTTCCAATTTTAAATTTAATATTGAAGTATGTATGACACTCACAATGAGGCTATGTATTATAAACCTTGGCATGGCAAATTTTATTTAGTTTAACAAGTGAATATACCCTAAATTTCAATTTTGATATTCAAACTATTGCGTATAGGAGAATCTCTCTATTGGGCCGTTCATTTTTTTCCGTCTTCCAGTTGTAGAAGATTGCGACCAGGTTGCATTCAATAGTCTGCTTTATGTTGTAAACCATATACAAACATTTATGGGGTGTGGACAGTTGACGAGACAAAATCCGTATATGGCACAATTCATAGCACTGAATTCTTATTGGTAGTCAAGAGCGTTTTGTAGTTAACTTCCGATGGTCGGGATGGGGTAGGGCCTCGATTTTAAAACAGTCGGATTCAAGACGCTATCAAAGAGTTGGAAAAACATGCCACGAACAGCTTCTAATTGGACAGTTTTGTTAGTTTACCGACATGCATGCACATGAGTGTAGAGGATTACCTACTTCATACCGAATGATAGAAACGCGTGGAACTTGATTAATTCTAATTTATTATACAGATTTAATTGACCACGCTATTTTAATTCTTCTTGGATTTCTTTGAGCTTTTCTTTGAGTTTTTAGCCGACCCTGCTGCCTTCTCACCCTCTTGCTTCTCTAAAGCTTCTTCCAATTTCCTCTTTTTCTGAGCCCCGGCTTTCAACTCAGCCTCTACATCTTCGACCGTATTCAACTGCGCCATACTCGCCGAGTCTACTGCAACTACATCTGACTCATCGCTGTCATTGTCTCCCTCCTGCTCAGTTTGGACGGCCTTTAGCGCCTTTGCAAGCACCGCTTGTGGTGTCAATTTACCGTGTTCGTTCTTGGCATCAGGTTTAGAGAGAGCGTCCAAGGATGCGAGCTTGTTATGAATGTCTTCGCCTATACTCTTGCGTTGCTCGAGGGTGAGTGATTTACAGGTCAAAAGCGTCGTGAGATTGTAGCATCCCTGTGTGGTTTTGGAGTGTGCCTCTATGTTCTCCTTTACGGAGTCCCAGATTCCTTGCGCAAAAGATTCTACAAAAAGAGACGACGAGAATCGAATGAGTATATTCAATAGTAGTATCGCAGACATAGATTTAACGCTATGTTTAGACATACAGACATAAATGTAGATATAAACACATATACGTTTATAATATATATATATATATAATGCATGCTTATTTATATATATATGTATACTAACACACACATTGTGCATATATAGGATGTATTCGTACATTCAAACAATATACATATATATATATATAATACATGACATATAGTATTCTCTACATATATTGTATAGGAATGTGAGATCAACATTTTCATTCCAACTTTTCTAACATTATATACAAATCCACATGCATGAATACATAAATTCGCGACTTACACAATCACAAATTATGAATGCATGCTGTATAAGGCGGTTCCAAATCGATTTTTGTTTCTGCTAACATTTCCCCAAAAAAAAGTAGGTGGCAGGCAGGCGCCTATACTCTATACCATTGTCCAAGCCAGTTCATACCAAACCAGATATATTTTTTCCAAGAAAAAAAACGAAAATTGGGTTTGGGTCCCAAAACCCGAACATATTTTCGGGCCTATACCAAATTCGGTAGTAAAATTTTAGTAGAGTGTAGAGCCAAATCAGCAAAAAAAAAAAGCAGGCAGGGGATAGCAGAAACAAAAATCGACTTGGAACCGCCTAAGGTGACAACAGCCACTATCAGTTATAACGAGTACGCACTCGCCACAGTGAAACCAAGTCTGACTTAACACGAAATAGCCAAAATTCTAAATCTTCAATTGATTTAGCTTCCACACTTGCAGTCGCCCCAATCAATGCACTACCAGACACAAAGCCTATAAACCCCGGCGACCACTACGTTTTCACCAAAAGTTTTTGATAGTATATTTAGACTATCTTAGTACAGCAAACAGATTACATGATCAACCATCTGAAGTAGAATGTAACTATAAACTGAAACGTACCTTCATCTGATATCATAGTCCCATTTTGCACAAGACGTTTGAAGAGAAAACCGCTCTCGTTGTTATTAAAGAACGTCTGATCCTCGACTACGGCAGCCAGGATGGCCTTTATGGCATTCGCTCTATTCTCGTTCGATACTGAGCAATGGGAAAGAGTGAAGACACACGTTGAAAGTGAGCGACATGCAATTCGTGTGTTACCCTCAATGACAATGTAAACCCAATACCAGTCCCAGAGCCAAGGGTAAAATGGTGTATTGCGCGTGAAAACTACATAATAGGATTGTGCATAAACAGAAGACGATACAAGTGCTATTAACACAGAACCTGGAACCGATGCTTGACAGAATCCGTACTGATGACAATCCGGGATGCCGCGCACTGCTACAGTCACATACCAATTGAACATCATATCAACATTGTTCAGCCTCAAAAAAGTCTTTCCAATGACAACATTCGCTAGAGAACCGCTACGCTGAAACTGACCCCGGATATCGGTAACGGAGGTCCCATGTCAATTAGTGGGCACTCGTGTATACCATCAAACACACACACAACAATACACTCAGCCGACATATTACATCCAACACACACACACACAACAATACACTCACCCTACATACTACACACACACACCATCCGAAGCAGAGAGTGCCTCCTCCACCACCTGGCAGATCTTTCCGGTCTCTAAGTAGTCGAACGTCTGCCCAGCGATGGCCTTCAAAAGAGGATCGTGTACCGCATAACGCAACTCGTTCTGACGTTGTACTCGATCCTTCTTGCTGTACACATTAATATCTCCTGTAAGTGTGATCGAAGGTATAACAGCTACTATGAGAAATAAACGTATATCGCATTACGCTACTTATTCTGACGTTGTACTCGATCCTTCTTACTGTACACATTGGTATCTCCTGTAAGCATGATAAAAGGTATAACAGCTACTATGAGAAATAAACATATATCGTATTACGCTACTTATTCTGACGTTGTACTCGATCCTTCTTACTGTACACATTGGTATCTCCTGTAAGCGTGATAGAAGGTATAACAGCTACTATGAGAAATAATCATATATCGCATTACGCTACTCGTTCTGGCGTTCAGTTCAACCCTTCTTACTGTACACATTGATATTTCCTACAAGGTACAAATACACATATTTGCCAGAATGCCAGAATCATAATGATATTAATAATATATATATATATCTGTTTATATTTGCACAGCATGCTCAACATCATAACGTGAGAGCGAATCAACTACTTTGCAAATAAAGTATACAATCATTCGCCCATTTAGCATGCAAAAACAAACAAACACGTGACTCCTATTCATGTACGAGCCAGCAGGGACATACCAAGTTCCAGGCGCGTCTGTAAAGCGGGCATGAGATACCGCTTGTTTCTTGGATGTAAAAGGTATATCATAACCAATCGGCCGAATTTATTCTGGCATACGGTTAGGAGCTCGTCATTTATTTCGTTGAGGATGGACTTCTTCATCAGCACAGTATCGTCCATGCTGTCGAACAGAGCCAACAGTGCCAGGTGGCCGTACTCTTCCATAGCGACCTGAAATGACGCATGTCACGCACCACATCAGCACACAAGAAAATACTAAAGGTGTAATGTGGATAGGCATGCTCATCATGTGCATTTATACATGACCATACTGAAACAATTACCGGACAATTCAAATTACTCTTGTGCTCTTAAATCGCCCTATGTCTATCATATTGCCCTATGTCAATCTGAATGAATGTGGACAGATAAATAAGCATCGAGGCCCAGCCACTGGCATATGTTGCTTAGCAAATACAAAACAAAGGACAGGTACTTTTGAAGTGGAACGGGGCCTATTGTAGGCAATCACCATCTTTCAGGCTTGTCGTGTGAGTAACAAGATAGTCTCACACCTACATATGCGACGAGCAATCACAACTGTAACATTCCTCAGACCTGAATTACACCAAAAGCATAAAGACTGTATATATATAAAGCCTATAAAGCTGCCCTCTCAGTAAGCATACACAGGAGCGATTATCAACCCAACAATATAAACATACCTGAACCACGTGTTTCTTGAACGCCTTCACGATAGTCTTACGATCTTTCGCGCCGCAATTCCAGATGGTTTCCATAGCAACCAGGGACCCATCGCGCGTGTGCAGCATAGCCACAATATGTTCCGCCAGTGCAGTGGACAGCACCTGCTTCTCGGCAACATCAACCACCTCAAAGTACTCCTTGATCGCTCGGTGCACAATGTTGGGTTGCACCACCCCTTTGTTTACGCACGACAAGATCAGGTCCAGCATACTCTTGGTGACGGGTTCTTTCTTATCCGAGTGCTTGGCGATGAGTTCGGCGAGAGATTTGATCTCCGTGTCTTTGAACAGAGCGTACTCGGGCGAGTAGAACTCTTGAATCAATGCGTTGCGCTGTAGTGAAATATGAGATGAATCTTCAGCAAACACATGCGTGAACGCCCAGGCACATAGTAAACTTGCTAGAAAGAACTGTGCATGCCATTGGGAATGTGACACCGTGGTATAATCATAATACATATATCATAAATACATCTATGAGGTGGAAGTAGCAACAGCGCGAAAGGGGATAGAACAAACTTGTATCACACGGTACAAGGGTACACACAATAAGCAGGATTTGAAGACTTTGATGGAGCTCGAACGCTGCACATTGGGTAGAATAGTAACAAATATTAGCGACTGCAACTCAGCTACGTACAGTTGTTTATGTGCAGTATAAAGTAAGTACAGACGAGGAACAATAGCTAAGCCGTGTACCCTGAAAGTATATAAACCATACGCAAACGAGCATATGCAGCTTATAATTTGTCAATACACAATAAATTGCAACACACAAACGATTGCTTCAACATACAGATATATATATATCTGTATATATATACAATTTATGTTTGTATAAATATATACAAACATAAATATGAACATAAACGTAAACATACACACACATATATATATATATATATATATATATATATATATACTGAAACAAAGCTTATCAGCGACAAAGAGTGAATAGTATTTTCGTGCATAAAATCATCCCAATACCTCAAGCGTGCGGCACAAACATACTGTCGAAAATAATACACGCGAGTATACATAAAGGACTATATACGTCCATGAGCATATGCTGTGCATTTCAACTGCATACGAGTCAAAATATATAGGGATAATCGTACCACTATTGAATGGATTTGCAAATATCCCTATCAGACTAGTAATGCGTAGAAATCTTACGTGACACGAATACAACTATAAGATATGACATAAATACTTGTACATGCGAGTGCGCGTGTTCACATCTGATCCTCAGAGGGATGTATGTATATTACACACAATATGCGAATATATTTCAATCTTGAATATAATGACAAATACATCCATATATTTATATATATATATATATTAAGATAATATATTACGATGCACGAATAATATTTGTACGACCAAGATTCGTATCACCATACCGATGGTTAAGGTATGTCTGATTTGAATCAATACAATAAAGGCGCGACGAAGTACAAATCACAATACTGTCTTCATGCAAATACTGATCGAAGAGCCATTGGTACTTCGAGTATCGTGAAGATGTTTCTCCAAACATTCAAAGTGCACCCTCATATGATATATATATGTATATATATGCATGTAAACACGTGTTTAAATTTATACATAAGAATACATGAACATGAACATAAACATAAACATGAACGCACACATGCACAAACACACACGCACACATATATATATTGTGTATACGAGAAGGCGATGTTTATATACGCATATATGTGCCAATCAATAATAAAAGGATTCATAGTGACCACATGACCAATTAATACATATATAGATAAAATTCGCAGACATCAATCTTAAAATACATACCTGTGCGGCGTTGGCTTTCTCCAAGAATGCGTGCTCCAGTACATCACTTCCATCGGGATGCTTCACTAACTTTCTAACATTGCCATACATGGCCTTAATTATATCCTCTCTCTGAGCCGGGGTACCATAGTCCAACATTTTATTGACCAGGAACTTGGCATATGTATTGTTCATCAAATTCAACAGATGGCCTTTCAACTCCCCATATATAACCGCTCGTTGCTCTACCGTACCGAACTGTACCATCGCCTGGATAATCCTGGCTGCGTCGTGCCTGAAGATAACATCCGCCATCTTTCCTTCTAACAGCTTCACTAACTTTCCCACATTCTCTCTGCGTGCCTCCTTATCCTTATTGCTCGTATCTCTAACTTTCTCCCACAACTGTCTCGCCTGGAACATCATATCTCCGTGTGGTCTGGCCAGCTGCCTTTCTTTCTTGAGTTCTTTCTTAGTCTTTAGCTCAGCTTTTTCCTGGGTTTCATTGGGTGTGCTATTTTTACGCACAGGTCTTTCTTCTCTTGGCAAGTATGTGCTAGGTTTCTTAGCACCGTACGCTTTCTTCTGCACAGCGCCAGGGGCGCCATTCCCCTTCTTCTTATCTGACTGGAACTTCGACATTGTACTACACGATTGATAACTAAAACTGCAGGCGTATTCAAACAATATCCCTTTAAATAGTATGGAAGCTGAAATATGAGTTATAAGTACAGGAACTTGTGTGGAATGATACACGTATACACTCAACTGTTCAATCAATACATATGTACCCTAAATGCACCAATCTCATACAAATAGAGTTTGCAACACCGCAGCTTTTGATGATAATCCTACAGTCCCCACTCGCACGTGTAACCCAGGGTTAGGGATAATTCTATTCTGAAACTTTGGATGTTGTAAATTGATAGAGGTCGTAAATAGGAGCTTACCTTCGAAGCTAATCCTATTAAAATAATATTGGACGGGAATATAAAATAAGTCGACCGTCGTAAACACGTCAAATTGAAATATTATCGAGGGTCATCATTATCCAGAGCCATGTGTACTGTGTATTCGATAAGAAATGAACTCACGGCAGTCCCCAATTGCGACTTACAAGTTCCAACGTGAAGTAGCATACACGGTAACACTCCCAGTTGACTATACTATACGTACTCCTTACTTGTCTGCTAATAAGTGTAGAGTTTGTAGTAACAGAATTGTACTGTCGGAGTTTTACGAACATTTGGATAATCACGTCTAAAAGCAGTCATAGCCAAATAGATCATGACAGAGCCACACGGGAAGAAACTAGGACGATATGCCGAACCTACATCACATTTAGTCAAACTGACACTACCTAAGGTGGCGGAGTTGGGCGGTGGAGATATACGTGAGATGAAAACTCTTGTCGCCAGCAATAAAGGGTTCCAGACAGTTGTTGATCTATCACCTATGGTAGAGATCCGCAAGCTTACACTCAGCAAGAACGAGCTAGAATCACTCGAGTGCGTGAAATACTGCAAGAGTTTGACGTATTTGAATGTGGCACACAATAAGATCGACTCACTCAAGGATCTTAAGGACTTGAAAATGCTTTCCGGTAAGTTTGACTTGTCATGTGCTGATGTAGGCTGAACACTTGCTCGTGATCACGCGTGTTCGAACTATATGTGCATTACGTTGTATATACTGGTTTTTGTTACACTATTAGTTGTTTTCAAACATGCCTGTATGTATATATGTATGCAAGTATATATGTATATATGTATGTATGCATATATGTGTATGTATGTATGTATGCATATATGAATATGTATATATATATATATAGTATATATGTATATGATTCTATATTATAGTACATATGTTTATACAATAGTAATAATGTTTATAATAGCATACACAAACGTATATGTATGTATTTGTTAATGAATTTATGTATATACATTTGGTTATTGATTCATGCATAAAGTCATATACATGTGCATATATATACAAACTATATGTATATCTATATGTGTGAGTGAGTGAGTGTGTGTGTGTGCGTGTGTGTGTATATATGTAAATATATTGATATATCTTTATCTATATCCATATTTATATGTACACACATACACACACATATATATATATATATGCATACACAAACACACAAGTATGTATGTTTATGTTCATGCATATATGTATGTGCATATTGTTCTGTATTTATACATATATTCATATACATGAATATAAATATTTGAATACATATCATTATATATACGCGCGCACACGCATATATATATATATATATATATATATATTCATGTATGAACATAAATGTATATATGTATGTATGTATTTTTAGATATATATTTATGCATGTTTTCATACATACATTTATGGGATATATATCTCATTTATATATATCTATATCTATATCTACCTAAATGGTGTTCTCACGTTGTGGATGTCTTTTATGTGATATCTAGGTATTGTACATGCCGCTATTTTTTTGGTTAATTGAGTAATTAGCGACACGGGTATATGAGTCTGAGAAAATGTTAATCACTGTGATGGAGAAAATAAAATATAAAATATGGTGAGATATGAACTCATATCAAGAGGCGTGTACATTTTGAACGTAGTCCCGTTCTTATTACATCTTTACCTTTGTTTGTTCTCGTATAGCAGTGTATACATATCTGCGCTAGTGTGAATATCTTGTCCGTTGCATATGCGTTGGTGTATAAGGATAGCAGAAACTTGAAGAGATTTATGTCTAGTACTATCTATGACTAGGTATTGAAACACGTATATCTATGACATTTAGGTTATTTCGGACATGGAATGCATTGGATTACGGTTTGTTTGTAGCAGTTCTGACGTACGAAACGTGTATTCTCTCAGAAGATTGACAATGTGTGACAGTCCGTATATACACATTTTATTAAATACGTACAAAAATACGTTTTGTTGTCACATATCTAAATTGTCAGACAAATGTGGTTCGAATCGGAGTTTATATGTCCATGGCTTCTATCTGTACATTCATTTGCATAAATTGGTATATTTGTGTCTCATCTAGCACTGAACGTACTATATTATTGTATCTGTATCTCATCGAGCACTGAATGTAAACTCGGTGTACGCAACAGTTCCATTTACTTTCACGTGCCTCCAGTGTATCTTTTCACGATTTGTTTTGCATACACGAACAGGCACATACACTTGTATCTTCACGTAGCATTTTCCGGTTATTATCTATATTAATATGTAGTATGGAATGTACTTGACCCATCAACCAATGAGTTCCTTTAGAAAATGGTTTACCGTGTTCGATCAGGTCACTATGTGTATATCAGTAGCCACCATTCGTATTGTGAACCGCATGTAACTAGTACGATTGCGATCGCAGATGAGAGGTTCGGCTATATGCTTCACGGTTTGTTTTTATTTCGCCGTGGGCCCTAGTGCTCTTCTCTCCAACAGATATGCCTCAATTCAAAGGTATGTGAATCCAAGCTAAATTTTTTTTTAAATATTCATTCCTTTTCAGTATGTAACGCTGGTAATAACAATCTAAATAGCGCCGAGGGAGCTACGGCTATTGAACATCTCAAAGCTTTGGTGCTCAACAATAACAAGTTCACACACACGCCGAATTTCCTGAGATTAAAGAAACTGAATACACTGGGTGAGTTGAATGTTGTTTATATACTGATGTTGTTGTGCATACGAGTCCGCAGTAGTTACCATGCTTATGGATGACGTCCAACGTACACCATTTCTCTCATCTCAATTTTGTGCTCTTCCTCAGTGCTGTCACACAATATGATCGAGGACATTAAGGCGGTCCGCTACCTAACCGCCCTGACGAAGTTTGCGGCGTCACATAATAAAATCCGCAAGATACCCGATGTCACGGGTCTGTATGATTTGACGGAGATCAAATTAAATGACAATCTCATCCTTACGGTGCCCGAGACGATACAATTTGCCCCAAAGTATGTTGTTTGTGCACATATGTATATGAGTTATTGTCTTAGTCAGTATTACATTACTTAGGTGTAATATTGTCTAGTTTTCCGGGTCATACTGCCAGTGAATCGCTTTGTATCTTCTTATTGATCGGCAGTACTCGTTCCATGCACTAGTTCTTATCGTACTACTTGTATTATGGCTTTTTGGTGCTGTGGTCACCTATCATAGAATACACAGGCATTAGGCTTTAGTCTTACCAACGCGGTTCTACTATCGCCAAATGTTGCCAGACCCCAGTTTACATTCTCGACAAGAGTAATCAATTCTGAATGTCAATCGCAACGGAAAGTATTGATATGAGGGCTTTTCATTTGCTTCCTACATTTTTGTTTGCATGTATGCATCCGGTTCAGTCTATTCTCATATGTACTATTTTCCCCCACCTCGTCTTTATGCACACAGTCTGAAAACAATCGATTTGGGTAACAACCGAATAAAGAAATACACCGATCTCAAGCACTTGGCCAATTTGCCGGTGTTGAAACAGTTGACACTCAAGGGTAACCCCATCGCCGCCAGTGCTGACTACCGTGAGAAGGTATTTTCCGTGGACCTATGAACTCTCTTGTACGAACTCTTTATGTTTTATCATAATCAAACGTGTTGTATATAGCTAAGTTCTCGTGATTTTGTACTTGAAGTGGCTTTTGTTCATATTGAAACTACTCATTGTATCTTTGTCAGTGTTATGTTTCCTATTTTCATTTGATTACCATTGAAGCAGATGCTCTGGCTCAAATGCGACGGTATATCAGAATCCAAGGTTTCGTATGTTAGTGTGCCAAATGTTCATATGTCTATGGGTTCTCGCGTCATTGTAGTCCTTCCGGATTATCCTGGTACTGGGTCCCGTGCATGGATTGCCTGAGATGTCAATCCTCATGCGTGGCATCATTGATGCATTGTGCTGTATCAGAGTATTTCACGAAAGGCAGCAATCTGGTAGCTAATCATGCATCATCATACCTTTTGGATCATATCTCCGGAGAGACCATTTATTCGGACCACCACCAACTTATTCTCTGAATTTTACAATTCTGGCTTACAGATCGCCGAATTGCTTCCCACAGTGGAGGTGTTGGACGGTGAACGTTTCCGCGGGCGAAAGTTTATAAAGAAACTGAGCAAGGAGAAGAAGGCAGGAGCCACAAGCACTGGCGGTAACACGTCTATTGTACGGGAAGCTAATGAAACGGCACAGTCAGAAGACGAAGAGGTAAACACCAACGGAGAAGTCACAAATACCCTGAACAATAACATTGTGAGTATAGACGTGCGCGAGGACGAGGTCAAAGCTCGACGAAAGTTTGAAGGGAAGAAGATGAAGTTAGGTGGAGAAAGCGAGAGTGAGGGAGAAAAGGATACAAATGGTGAAACTGTGGACGATGAAATGGACCAGGATGTACCGGAAATCAATGCCCGCAGAAAGTTTGTGGGTAACAAGGTTAGGTTGGCCTGCAGTGATGATGAGGATGATTCTGCAACAGGCGTAGTAGTCAGTGATGTGCAGAAAAATACTGAGGTCGCAAGTAAGCTTGATGTGCAACGGAAGGACACTGTCACTGTGACGACAAAAAAAGCTACAACGCACAAGAGCATAGATTTGGAGATGTCACAGCCCTTTTCGGCAGCAGCAGCAAGGGTCCTGGCGCACCGACGAGCGCTCGAAGCTGAGATGGAAGGTATACTTCCTACAGAAGGCGAGAATATAACATCTGCTGCAAAGACACAGAAGCGAAAAAAGAGCCAACAGGCGGGAAGTGAAGTGGTCAAGCGAAACAAGAAAAATAAAGAACAGGCCGGAGAGCGTTCGGATAGCAAGAGAAAGGTGGAGGACGACTTTTTCGTGTCGATGTCTGGAGCTGCATTGGGAATGAATAAGTCTGCACCAAAGCTAGAGAAGGCAGACGCTGAAAAGTCAAAACGAAAGCAAGAAAAAATTATGAGAAAGCAGGAGAGAAGGGACATGAAATTAGCTGCTATGAAGGCGAGAGAAGTGGTTACCGTAAAGGCGAACAAATCAACTGAAGAAAATAAGAGCGTGGCCAATGATGCACGAATTGAGAAGGGTACAAAGTCGGAGAAGACGAGAAGTAATGTAGACGCAGGCCCAGATACTAGAACAACCGCAATTACTGGCGTGTTGAAGGTGGAGCGCAAGGCGTATAATCCCTCGGTTGATGTAGATACGCTCATGAGTGAATTGGGAAAATCGGAAGTAGTTGCATTTGGCGAGAGTGGTACTGGTTGGGATTAAGTTCCACAGAATACGAGTACAACCCCTTTTATGCACAGAGATTGCCGACAACATAAATAAAAATAAGATTAGTGAAACCAATTGCACTGACAAGTTTTCGAATTCGATCTATAACGAAAATATCAATCCATCGTGAGTATGTTTTGACTTGCATTATTTATTTTTTTAGGTCACTGCATTTTTGATCCGTAGATGATTTCTAGCGTACAGATAAAGGCGCTGTTTAAGCCTAGTAACAGGCATACTATCTGCAGATGTTGCCACACAATACTCGCTATATTTTACTCGAATGATATTATTAATTCTCGATCATTCAGAGGATAAATGTACATTGTTTTTCAAATACAATTTGCGAACAGATTTAATTTTATAGTTAAGATTTTCCACACCAATTTCAGTGTAGGCCACTGTGAGGTCAGTTTAGTTGAAACCAAATATGAACAGTACATGATATATGATTCAGAAAATATTACCTCCTCCAATCGCAGAGTAGAACACTTAGTATAACTATAACCGTTCATCGTAGATCTGATATACCAGACGTGAGTTGATAATATTTTATGAGTGGCTACTACCTATCTTTACAGTACAATTACAGTGTATGTGTGAGGTTGGATTTAGTCATTCGTATGATTTGAAAAAAAAATCCGCCTCCGCCTGCAGGATAAAATACTTTCTTTTGAGAGTTTTAATTTCTGGCCTACAGAAGTCAATCTATCAAAAGAATACAGATTAAGTTAACGTCAATATATTTTATGTTGCCCAAAACTGTTGAAAACAGCACGGGAATCGGGATTCCAGACTACATATTTACACCAATCAACTTCAAGGCCAGGAGCCCAGGATATTGTTCTATTTATATACATATATAGTAATAATCTACAATTCTACACACATATCTATACTATATGTATGGTATGTATTACTTTGTTTTTTAAAAACAAATATGACATCAGACGTGGCTTCTTAGACTTCGTCTTCACTCTTGTTCGTATGACTGTATGAGACAATGAGTCCGAGTAGGAGTGGGATAGTGTGAGGAGTGAGGAATGAGGAGTGAGTAATTAATCTTTTTTGTTTTTTGAAAAAACAATTCATTTTTTTTATACAAATGTTCAGATGAGTCTGAGGCTCTAAGTCTGAACCTGAGGGCGCCCTGAGGTCTATTGCATTTCTGTCGGGCTCATGACTCATCGTTGCTATATAGTACATTTAAAAAAATAGTAAAATACATATGTATGTACAATATTTATAAATAAATGAGTACAATGACTCTAAAAGTTTTGTTTTGATGTTTTCAGAAGAAAATTAAAAAAGTATGACGTAAATAGGGCAGAATGTATGAGTTCTGAAGGTATGTATTGCAACTTATTTTTTTTTGGATCTATCCGTTTTTCTATAAATAGGTTTACCTATATTGGCTCCAAACTCCAAAGTCCAGACCAGAGTCCAGACGACACTGTCGCCTTCTAAATTATACATAGAAGGCAATGTGATATATGTATATATATGTAGCTCTGTTTTTGTTTCAATTATCAAAATTACAAGATAGGCGAATATAGAATATATGAAACAATTTCTGTCGGCAATGTCTGGTATAAATTTTCTTACATTTGTTCTTGCCTCCCTGCTATTCCAAAAAGCGACTGCTGCGGCCGTAATCGCCAACCCATTGACACTGACACCATGGCAAATGCATGCCGGAAATGGGGCTCAGCTCGATGGTGAAGGCTGGCAAACAAACCCATATGATGGGCGTTGGCCACATGATTGCAGACATAAACACGGGAACAGCTGCAGTTATAAAGATGCTGATATTCCATCTAGCAACAGCCCAGATTGTCGTGACCCTCCTAACCCAGCCACCATTGCGATGGATCGTCATTCGCTACTATGCAACAATGGAAAACACCAGCAATGTTACTATTATGTAGACTTCACATACTTTCAAGCATTTTTAAACGTGCCTGATGACTGTGAGGTTACTAAATTTACCATTGACTTCGATGGCATGGATGACGGTTCTCGTGTATCTGTCAATGGTAAAGTAATTGCGAATAGCTACGTATATCTCCATCAGCGAGGTACCACTGATCTGAAACAATTTATTAGACATGGGGACAATCGTATAGTAATCACACAAATGGATGATTGTTGCTCTCAAAATAACTTACACAAGGCCGCTGTCGTACTGAATTCGGATTGCCAAGCAACTAAATGCGAATCGGTTCCTGTTATCTGTAATAGGCCCACAATAATGAATGCGCTAAATTTCAACGATATTTTATGCGCGAGTGGTGACTGCAACACGGATGCATGCTGTCTTCCAGCTAAACCGTGTGCCGATATGACAGAAGTTTGCGACAATGACCAGCAAAACAACAAATCTGACAGTAAATGCAATCCAGCAGAGAGGAAAAGTGAGCCGGACTCATGCAACGCAATATGTTGCGTCCCGAAGCCGTCGACCACTCCAACCAGCTCGCCCTCAATATCTCCAGCTACATCTACATCACAGACAGCAACGCCATCGATTAGCTCGTCTCCATCGTTCAGTACTACAGCATCGCCATCCACTAGTGGAATTCCATCACACAGTGCTACTGCGTCGCCATCCACTAGTGAAATTCCATCACAGTGTTACTGCGTCGCCATCCACTAGTGAAATTCCATCACACAGTGCTACAGCATCGCCATCCAATAGTGCAGCTCCATCACACAGTGCTACTGCGTCGCCATCCACTAGTGAAATTCCATCACACAGTGCTACTGCGTCGCCATCCACTAGTGAAATTCCATCCCACAGTGCTACGGCGTCGCCATCTAATAGTGAAATTCCATCCCACAGTGGTACAGCATCCCCATCGATTAGTATTGCTCTATCTCACAGTCCTACTGCATCGCTATCTACTAGCGCCTACTAGCGCAGCTCCATCACACAGTGCTACAACATCGCCAGCTACATCTCACAGTGCTACTGCATCGCCATCAATTAGTCCAGCTCCATCGCAGAGTGCTACTCAATCACCGTCGATTAGCGCGGCTACATATTACAGTGCTGTTGAGTCGGCATTGGGTCGCGCGGTTGCATCTCACAGTGCCACTGTATCACCAGTTGCATCATGCAGTGCCACAGCAACGCCATCTGTTAGCGTGGCTGTATCCCACAGTGCCACGGCAACGCCATCGATCAGCATGGCTGTATCCCATAGTGCTACTGCATCACCAGCTGTATCCCACAGTGCCACAGCAACGCCATCTGTTAGCGTAGCTGCATCCCACAGTGCTACTGCATCGCCAGCTGTATCCCACAGTGCCACAGCAACGCCATCTGTTATGGGTGCATCCCACAGTGCTACTGCATCGCCAGCTGTATCCCACAGTGCCACAGCAACGCCATCTGCTAGCGTGGCTGTATCCCACAGTGCTACTGTATCGCCAGCTCCATCGCACACTTCTACAGTATCGATATGTGCACATCCTTCTGAAGCGACACCAAGTCCAGCGATACCCGTAGCGACAACAGAGTGGCCATCGATCGGAATAACTCCAACCATAGATCAGCTCGTCCCAGTAGCCCCTGTTCAAATGGCACCTAGTGTGGCACCACATACGACGTTCCTGAATACACCCGGAGTCACGCCAAAGTTGAGTCCTGGTATGGTTCCCCAAACTGTGGATCAGCTGGTTCCGACGGCAACAGCTGCACTGGCACCAAGTATAGTTCCACACACCATCCAAAAGAATCAACAATCCTGCTATGATTCCCCACACTGTGGATCAGCTGGTCCCAACGGCAACAGCTGCACTGGCTCCCAGTATGGTTCCACACACCAAGCACCAGAACACACCTGGAGTCACACCGCAGTCAATCCCGGTAGCTACCTCCGAGATACCGCCAATTGTTGTTACTGCTACTGCTGAGGTGATAACAGCCCCGACTATGACATCTCCAACTGTGCAAGCAACCACAGTTCTAACCCCGCTTGGCGTCGCACACGTTCAATACTCGCAGAATATACCACAGCCAATGCATACAACGGATTTGGTACAGCAGCCGACGCCAACTGCGACCGAACACCAGGACAAGCAGAACAGTCTCTACTGTAGGGATGTCAAATTTTCTAAATGCAAAACCTATCGAACGGACTTGAAGTGCTGTCGTAACACGGACAAGTGTACCGGTTGGGGTAACTGTAAGTGCGCGTCCACATCGTGTTGTAAAACAACACAGAAAGCTGAGGATCATGACCGCCAGGTTACTGACTCCGGTAGCGAGTACCATGGAAATTGTAAGAAAGACGGGACTAGCAGCAAGTGCGAGAGTTATAGTTCAGACAATTGTTGCAAAGCAGGAACCGATAAAATGTGGGGGCTACGCCACATTCAAATGTTCCTCACCACACTGCTGCACAAAGACAAAAAAGGCCAAAGACAATCGTTGTCGTCGCGGTGAGAAGGCTTGCACGGGCAAACGTTCAGCTATATAGCCCTTCGATGTATTAAATGTTATTGCATGGCCACAACATAGAAAAATAAACTACATAGATATATTCAAGAAAACTGATCAGATAAACAATTCAAAAATA